AAGAAAGGACAGTGGATGCAATAATACACTCAGGAGAAATAATTGGGGATGTCTCTTGTTCTAGATGCAATTCAATGTCAAATTGCTTAGACAAGGCGTCAGCTTTAACGTTCTTATAAATCGGGTCTGTAGGTTCTGATAATGAAGTTAAAGTGAGAAAAATAATGACCATCTAGCTTGTCTAGAAGACAGTCGTTTGGCATCCAATATATGCCAGGTTCTTGTGATCAGTAATAATGAGAATTGGATCCTTGGAACCCTCCAAAATATGTTGCCATTCCTCAAGCGCTAGTATGATGGCTAACAGTTCTCTATTATCAATATCATAGTTACGCTCGGCCAGAGACAACTTTCTGGAGAAGTATCCACATGGATGCAAAGGGGCATCCTGACTCTCTCTCAGATAGAACAGCCCGACCCCTGTCTCGGAGGCATCAACCTCAAGTAGGAAAGATTTACTAGTGTCAGGATGTCTTAATATGTCAGCAGATGTGATTTGTTTAAGAAGCTCAAAAGCCTCTTTAGCTTCTTTAGGCCATATAGTGTGTGTGTGTACAATGGCGGACCAGACTGATGGGGGCTATTACCGAAGATGGCTTTTAACACATTGGGTAATGGCCAGTGTAGAACGGCCTCTAGTTTGCGAGGAACCATTTGGAAACCAGAGGCAGAAATATTATACCCCAAAAACTGAGCCTCATGCTGATCAAATATGCATTTCTCAAGCGATTATCTGGAAGGTAATGTCCTCCTTATGCAAGCTCCTATCGTAATGCAAATAGGCAAGGTCTCATGGGTAATCAATGGTTGAGATAAGGGTCCCCATCAATAGCCTCAACCGTTAGAGGTGATGATCTCTCCTTGACTGGTAGTGTGTTTAACAAAATATAAATCAATAAAGTTACCAGCTGCACCTGAGTCAACCAGGGCTTTGCATGCAAAGTTCTTCTCATTGCAAAAGGTGGAAATGTCAAGGAGAAATCTGTTTTGGGAATTGCTTGAGGACATATCCATTACACCTAAGACCTGTCCCCTTAAGGTTCTTAGGTGCAGAAGCTTTCCGGACATATAGGACAATCATCTCTCATGTGTCCTTTTTTGCCAAAATATAAGCAAAGACCCTCTTTTCTCCTATACGGTTTCTCTGCCTCAGACAGTCCAGTAACCCCTAACTGCATAGGTTTGGGTTCAGACAGTGTCGGAAGGCCAGAGACAACAGGTTTGGGGGAATCGAGGTGCTGGTTCTGTTTCTAGCAATTTCCCTGGTCCTGAGTCTATTATCGATTTGCATCACATAAGTAATAAAGTCAATTAACCCCTTAGGTAGGTCTTTGGCAGCAATTTCGTCAAGAATATTCTCGGATAATGCTTTTTTAAAATCAGCGATTAATCCGTTATTAGTCCAGTATACCTCAGATGCCAAAGTATGAAATTCTATGGCATAATCTGAGATAGACCGGTTCCCTTGTTTGATATGCATTAATGCAGTGGAGGAGTCTTCCTTCCTGCCTAATTGTTCAAATGTCAGTTTGAATTCTGCAAGGAATTCTTGGTAACAATGAGCGATACTCCTATTACTTTCCCATAATGGATTAGCCCAAGTTAAAGCCTTACCTTTAAGTTGGTTCATCAGCTACCCAATCTTAGCTCTATCTGAAGGAGATCGTAAGTGCCTTATAAACTATAGGTGGAGGTACATTAGGCAGGGGTGACATAATGGGAGAAGCGTCCGGTTGTAAATGAGTTGTCCTAGTAAGGAGCGTGCTAAAAGCCTCGGCAAATTGATCCATATTGTGATCATTCTCATCTAGCTTTATCTCGCAAGCTGCTATGTGCTGACACAATTCTGCAGGACTGTCACACCTAGGACTAAGGATAACGTATAACCGGACCTTAGAATGGCCCAACTTAACGTATCCAAGAATAGTCAAAATACTTGCAAAGGGAAAGCCAAAAGTCAAGGATACCAGAATTCAGGGAAGTCAAAACAAAGCCAAAGTCAAATACTAGAAAATCAAGATCAGGAATGCACTCTTGGATTACCATCAGGATGAAACCATGACAGGGCAATGAGCAAAAGGAGAATTGGGTTTTAATACCCCTCCTGTGAATCTGATCAGCCGTAAATGGCCTTTGACCCCAAAAGCAATTACCAGGTTTCCATGTGCATGATTGCTGCTCGGCACAACTTTTCCTGTCAGGATGGTAAATGCCATTAACCACATTTTTATGTGTGGATGAATATGTGACAGGTAGTAGATGGGCCCTGGTGAGGTGGATAGGTAGTGCCTGGAACAGGAAAAGGATTCGTGGCAGGACGTTAACTTTTACTGAATGAATCCGTCCTATCCTCAATATGGGTTTATCAGTCCACTTTTCCATGTCCTTTGTCAGTGTTTTCAGTAAGGGCATGAAGTTATGGTTATGTAAGTGAATCCCTAGCATTTAAGAGACATTTTTTTCTATGCGTATGTTATATGTACAGTACAGACACACTATTAGTTGTACCATTGATATTTGTTTTGTATATTGTTGGGAGTGTCTCTTTATATTAAGGCCACCCTCTATCCCCTGGTATAATACTAGAGTGACTACCTATGGCCCTAATAGAAAACAGGAATTATTTGACTGCCAATATAGATTCAGTCTTTGACAATAACGAAACGACACCAGTAGGGGAAACATATGAGGGTAATATGTGTAGTAAAAATTTGGAACGAGCTTTAATTAAAGAAATGAAAGCAAAATGGGAAAATGCCACTTTAAATAAATATGTAAGAGAAAAAATAACCAAGAGGTTTAAGGTTTTATAAAGATCCAGCCTTTGATAGAGAGGATCCTTACTTTATGGAAGGATGGAATAAAATGTTAGATGGATTCTCGTTTAGTGCAATGGGGTACATTGTATCTAGACGAGAAGAACATCTACAAAACATTGATACTGATATTAAAAAATGGAAAGATAAGTTAAGCAACACCACTAGTCCAGAAGTCTTCAATACAACTATTAAGGAAATCACTAAAAGAGTAGAAAAAGTAGAAAAATATGTTATAGATATCAAGAAAAAGAAATATCTAAGAGATACAAATGACTACAAATTAGGAAATGTAAGAAGAAATAATAAAGATAATAAGACCCAAAAACCACCTTTTAAACAATCCAATCATGGTAAAGAAGGACAAAGAAACAGTTTTTATGAATCCCAACAAATCTCTAGAAACAATAAATATAGCAGACAAATAGAAACAAACAGACCAAGAGTTTTTAGAGAAGAGACCAAAACGAGACAATCAAAATTACAATAGAACTTACGGGGGCATGGCCTGGAGCTC